ACTTGACCGACACAGCAGAGCAGGATCGTACTCTCGGATACCCGACCACAAAGCGGTCCTTGCAGCGTCCTCCTCGGGCTCCTGGCGGCGCTCTCCGAGCCCAGCAGCCCGTGGACAGCACGCCCGAGCCCCCGGCGGCAGCTCTCCCGGAGCGCCCCGCGCGCCCGCGGCTGACCGCACGCCGGAACCGCAGGCAAGGCAGCCAGCCGTCCGTGTGGTCAAGGCCTCAGAAGGCCGGAGCCTCAGCCGACATGTAGGCGAAATCACAGGCGACGGCCCACGTGAGACTCCCCCAGCTGCGAACGACCAACTCCAGGGCGGAAACCCGGTCAAGTGTCAGCCCCCGGGTGCGGTGATGGCTGCGGCAGCGGGTGCCGGGGCACTGGCTGGCTTGCACCAGGGCATGAATGCCTTTCACCGCACGCAACTTTTGCCTCGGTGACCGACGGTAAGAGACTACAGTAGGTAGGTTTAGTGACGCTTAACAGGAGTAAAACGACAACACCTCAGACAACATAGAGGTATTGCTCCCCAGTGTTTAAAAAAAAAGTCTAAAGCTACACATTTAGGGTCCGCCTGTCAGCTTCCCAGCCCTAAGAAACCACGTCATGGCGACTCTCAGGCCTACCTTGCTTCAGTTTTTTCTCCAGTTCAACGCACGTGTCAGTCACCCAGTCGTGTCCGACTCTGTGACCCCACAGATTGTAGCCGGCCAGGCTCCTCTGTCCAGGGGATTTCCCCGGCAAGGATACTGGAGTGGGCAGCCTTTCCCTTCCCCATGGGATCTTCCCGACCCAGGGATCGAACCCAGATACCCCGCATTGCAGGCGGATTCTTCACAAGCTGAGACACCAGGGAAGTTCACGCACCATCAAGTCACTGGGAGGCGCCACCAGTCACCCCACCCCTTTCTTCACGGGGGCGCTGCTGACCCAGGCTCCTCTGCATCCCTCCTCCTCTTCTCCTAAATCAGGATGTTGTCTTTGTCTTAAATGAACACAGTGACTGCTTACCTTCCAGTCTCCGGATCTCTCTTCCTCTAGCTCACCTTTTACGTGACTGCCAGAGTAACTATTCCAAACATAAATTTCCTGATCGTTTTTCGCTTCTTCCACCCCCGCTGCTGTCAAACCCAAGTGTGTGTGCCCTGCACACAGTGAGGCCAGACTGAGAAGCTTGATTTTGGAGCAGAGAAAGGCTGATCGCAGGCCCAGGCTCGGGGAACAAGCCTTCATGCTCGAAAAGCCCGCGCTCCCCTGATGAGCACTTCCCTCGGTCTGTGCCTCAGAAGGCAGAGAAAGTCCAGACGCTAGAAGCCTTTCTGCTGCAAACAAGAAATGGGGGACACAGATGGGCTTTCTCCCAAGATGATCCCATAGTGTTCCGTCTGGTTTTAGCATGAGGGCAAAGGGAGCACACGTAAAATCACGTCCCTTTGGGACGAGTTAAGAGATTAAAGACGTTTAATTTGTAAAAGAGAATTATGGGTGGTAGGTCATCCTCCATGCCTCGTAAATGTGAAACCTCTATGCATTTTTTAAGAACCCCTCTCCCATCTAATTGGTACTTCTCTATTCTGAGGAAATAAGTAATGTTTTTCCCTTTCTTTCTTATCCGAATTTCTCCAAGGCAGAAAGGTGAAACTGCCTGAAGGCACTGACTTTTTCCTTCCTTACACACACACACACACACACACACANAATATTTTGACCACCTGATGCGAAGAGCTGACTCGTTTGAAAAGACCATGATGCTGGGAAAGATTGAAGGTGAGAAGAGAAGGGGACGACAGGATGAGATGGTTGGATGGCATCACTGACTCAATGGACATGAGTTTGGGTAAACTCCGGGAGTTGGTGATGGACAGGGAGGCCTGGCGTGCTGCAGTCCATGGGGTCACAGAGAGTCAGACATGACTGAGCGACTGAACTGAACTAAAGGAAAGACCCTAATTGGAGTCCACCTGATCCGAGAGATGTTTCCTGAGGCTGGAATGGAGGTTACAGGTCATTCGGAGCAAACTCCTTTATTGCAGCAGCACCGCAGGAACACAGAAGCAATGTCTGGGCACTAAGTGTGGATGAACCGGACCCCACGGCACAGAAGGGGTAGGAAAATCTTCTGCTGGCCTCGCTGTGGTCCAAAAGAGATGACAAAACAGAGGAGACGCGCTGGATGCAACATTTGGCCAAATGTTCTGTGGTGCCCCTCCAGTGCTTTGCCGATACATGAGCACCCAGGACTTTTGTATAACCCCAGGGTAGAGACAGGCTTAACAGAAACTAAGACTGAATATCCAATCAGAACAGAGGCTTGGAGGGTATACACTCAATTCAAGTACAGGAACATTTCCCGCACACATAAGTCCCTCAACTACGATTCATAACTACCTCATGTCTTTTTATCTTTGTACCAGTAAATAAAGTACTTAACATTTTCCCAGAAATAATAAATAAATATAATCCATAGTTAACATGAAATAGTAATATTCAAAACACTGAAAACTGAAGTGGTTAAAATATTCACATAGGATTTAGAAAGCCTTGGGCGATGAGGAAAATGAAGTGAAAGGTACCATTAAGGTCTAAACATGAACTATTCTCATTCACTTCTCATCAGTCATTTATTCAAGAAACCTGCAATGAGTTGACATTTAAATGACAGTCTTGTTCTGACTTGGTTAAATATCTTAAATCTCATTTAGTCACTGAAAGGATTTCGTTCTAAAAATGGAACCAGAGAATCTCACACATGTACCTTTAGGAAAATAAAACTTAAGAACTGAGAGACTGTTTTCCATAAATGCCCAACTGACAAAAAATCAGAACTTGTCTCCTGAGCAATGAGTATCCACAAAGAATCTTTCCCCCTTCTCAGTCCATGAATGTACTGATCGGACTCTGGCTGGACTTCCCCCTCTTTGGACTCTTTCCACAAAAATACAGCCCATGCCAAACCCTCAGTAGACTCACCTGTAGCTTGCTATGGCTGGCATTTTCCGAATTACAATTCCTCTGCTATTCCCAAATAAACTCAATTGCTGCTAATTCCAGCTTGCCTCAATTTCCCTCTTTATTTAGGATGATGCCCAATATAGGAAGCCATTTGGCTTTGATGCAAACTACTCACATGATGAATGGTTTGTGGAAGAATGGCAAAAATGGATATAACTGTCCCTGAATTATTGTATTGTATTTCTGCTGTGTGCCAGTGCTCTATAAACATCATTGACACTGGATAAAGCTGAGCGGGGCCTTGAGACCCCAGGCACCAAGGCCCTTTTAGCCCCCATTTCTTGTAGGCAAGACTCCAGTCTTCAGGACCTTTCCTGAGTTTCAAAGGTCAGAATCAACAGTTGCTAATCAAGGGAGGACCAGCCAAGAAACAACCTGAAGCACGATTAAAGGGACCAGAGAGGTTCATCAAGATTAGGAGACCTGACCTCCTAAGATGAGACCAAGGGCCTGCAAGCCCTGTTGAAGCGTCAAACCTTTGCTACCTGATGTGAAGAGCCGACTCATTGGAAAAGACCCTGATGCTGGGAAAGATTGAAGACAAAAAGAGAAGAGGGTGGCACAGGAGGAGATGGTTGGAAGGCATCACCAACTCAATGGACATGAGTTTGAACAAACTCCAGGAGATAGTGAAGGACAGGGAAGCATGGCATGGTGCAGTCCATGGGGTCACAAAGAGTTGGGCATGACTTAGTGACTGAACAACAAAACCCTACTCAAACCCTAATATTGTTAGAGACCCCATCTTTGAACCATCATTATAAAACCCTTCATCAAATCCTCCTGGGTTGAAAAACAGTTTTTCAAGGCAAGAGCCAGCTGTGCTCACCCTTTGCCTGGCCAAGTAATAAAACTAGCCTTTCTACTTCACTCAAAACTCTAGTCTCAGATTTGATTCCTCACCCATGTACAAGAGAGGTTGAGCTTTCAGTAGCAGGATCTAGAGAATAGTCAGACTTAAGTATGAATTAGATATGTTTCATACCTATCTAGCATAGACTCAGAATTTAAGTTTTTAACATTAATCCCTAGTGTACTTTTTAAGCTCCGGTTGAAACAAACTTGGAAAGGTATATTTTAAAAAACAATTTCCAAGAAGTATACAAAATTATTCTAAGCCTTTGGCTTGGTAATGGGCACTAGAAAATACAAGATTTAGACTCTAACCTTAAGAAAGAAACAATGGTTAATTGACCAAAGATAACCAAAAAGATAGAATTCATTCAGATACACTGTGGAGATAAGATTAAAAAGTGGGGTGGGGGGGAGATCCTACTATCACCTTGTGTGTTAGTCACTCAGTCGTGTCCAACTCTTTGCAACCCCATGGACTGTAGCCCACCAGGCTCCTCTGTCCATGGGGTTCTCCAGGCAAGAATACTGGAGTGGGTTGCCATCTTCTTCTCCAACCATCATCTTACCTCTTCCTAGAAATTCTTCCTAAGAGATAACTTGTGCCCTTTTCTCAAGATTAATTGCTTTTTAAAAAAATCCTTGCATTTCACATTCTCAAGGATTCTCCCCTGGCCCCCTTACTTGCCAAACTTTTGAAATTTTTAGAAATCTCGATGAGTCTGCGAGAGGGGCGTGTAGCGGCGCATCTCACCAAGTCTGTAAGGACTTGGAAACTGTCCAGCGTGGAAAGCAGGATTCAGAGCTAAGGATTCCCGCAAGACAAGGAAGTCCCAGTGCAGAGTAAACTAAAAGAATTCCCCGACTGATTGACAGCAACTGGAAAGCTGCCCAGCATAGAGCCACGTCCCCAACCCCGGCCCCTCCGCACTCCCTGCTGCTGGGATCCCCTGGGTGCCCGGGGGCCCTATTGGCGAGCCTGGGCGGGAAGCGCGGCAGCGAGCGCCTCCAGACAGCCAGGGCCAAGGAACCCGAGGGGGAAGGCTCGGTGCCCCCATCTGTGGACCTCCGGGCGGGCCCGGGGTGGCGGATGTGACTGTAACCTCAGCTCCCGAGTGACCAGAAGCAACTCACCCAGGGCTCGCGGCTCGCAGACCAGCAGGTTGCTAAGGACGCGGTGGGAGGTGCTCAGAGAGGGAAAGCCAGCTTCTCTAGGGTTAGCCGAACACCGCTAGCCAATCAGGGCCCGCCGAGGAAGGCCAGCCACTTTCGGGTCAGCTGACCAAGGCTAGCCAATCAGAACCCGGCAAGGAAGTTCAGCTCAATTTAGAAGCTCCCTGTTCAGACTCTCTGCGACCCCAGGGACTGCACCACGCCAGGGCTCCGTGTCCATCACCAATTCCCAGAGTTTACTCAAACTCATGTCCATCGCCTCTGTCATGCCATCCAACCATCTCATCCTCTGGCTTCCCCTTCTCCTCCCACTTTCAATCTTTCCCAGCATAAGAGTCTTTTCAAATGAGTCAGTTCTTCTCATGAGGTGGCCAAAGTGTTGGAGTTTCAGCTCCAGCATCAGTCCTTCCAATGAACACCCAGGACTGATGTCCTTTAGGATGGACTGGCTGGATCTCCTTGCCTTGTGTTAAAAGTAGAGTTTTCCAGGCCCGCACCCCAGAGGTTCTGCCTCGCTTTTGGCATCCAGAATTGCATAATTTTCCTTCAAGTTTTTTTTTTTCCACAAATTTTGTTTATTTTGGCTGCACCACTCCGCTTATGGGACCTTCCTTCCCTGTCCACATGCTTGGCCATGAAAGCATGAAGTCCTAACCATTGGACAACCAGGGAATTTCTATCCTTTAAGTTATTTTTGTAATTATTCAAATTTCTATCTTCACTTAGCTTTAGCAGTTGTTAACATTTGTCATTTTGTACTATGCTATGTACTGTTTGTCACTATAGACGGATGGATGGATAGATGGATGGATGGATGGATGGATGGATGAATAGGCAGTTGGATAGATATCTAGATAATTTAGCCCCTTTTCACTAAGGCACTCAATAATCTGTTCTAGTTACTTTCTGTCATTTATCTTTGACAGCAATCCCCAGGCTTAATATAGAAAGGAACAACCTATGTTTAGTTATAAACTTACACTCAACATATACCTGTCACATAGTTCGTCACAATAAAAAAGAAGTCCTTTTTATTGTGAATAATGTCATACATANGGGGATCGGGATGGGGAACACATGTAAATCCATGGCTGATTCATGTCAATGTATGGCAAAAACCACTACAATATTGTAAAGTAATTAGCCTCCAACTAATAAAAATAAATGGGGAAAAAAAAGAAAACTGACCTTTACCATTCCTGTGGCCACTGCTGACTTTTCCAAATTTGCTGGAATATTGAGTGCAGCACTTTCACAGCATCATCTTTCAGGATTTGAAATAGCTCAACTGGAATTTCATCACCTCCACTAACTTTGTTCATAGTCATGCTTCCTAAGGCCCACTTGACTTCACATTCCTGCATGTTTGGCTCTAGGTGAGTGATCATACCATCATGATTATCTGGGTCATAAAGATCTTTTCTGTACAGTTCTTCTGTGTATTCTTGCCACCTTTTCTTAATATCTTCTGCTTCTGTTAGGTCCATACCATTTCTGTCCTTTATTGAGCCCATCTTTGCATGAAATATTCCCTTGGAATCTCTAATTTTCTTGAAGAGATCTCTAGTCTTTCCCACTCTATTGTTTTACTCTATTTCTTTGCACTGATCACTGAGGAAGGCTTTCTTATCTCTCCTTGCTATTCTTTGGAACTCTGTATTCAAATGGGAATATATTTCCTTTTCTCCTTTGCTTTTCACTACTCTTCTTTTCACAACTATTTCTACGGCCTCCTCAGAGAGCCATTTTACTTTTTTGCATTTCTTTTTCTTGGGAATGGTCTTGATCCCTGTCTCCTGTACAATGTCATGAACCTCCATCAATAGTTCATCAGGCAGTCTATCAGATCTAATCCCTTGAATCTGTTTATCACTTCCACTGTATAATCAAGGGATTTGATTTAGGTCGTACCTGAATGGTCTAGTGGTTTTCCCTACTTTCTTCAATTTACGTCTGAATTTGGCAAGAAGGAGTTTGATTTGATCCACCGTCAACTCCTGGTCTTGTTTTGGCTGACTGTATAGAGCTTCTCCATCTTTGGCTGCAAAGCGCATAATCAACCTGACTTCAGTATTGGCCATCTGGTGATGTCCACATGTAGAGTCTTCTCTTGTGTGGTTGGAGGAGGGGGTTTGCTGTGACCAGTGCATTCTCTGGCAGAACTCTGTTAGCCTTTGCCCTGCTTCATCTTGTGCTGCAAAGTCCAATCTGCCTGTCACTCCAGGTGTTTCTTGACTTCCTACTTTTGCATTCCAGTCCCCTATAATGAAGATGACATCTTTTTTGCTGTTAGTTCTGGAAAGTCTTGTAGGTCTTCATAGAGCCATTCAACTTCAGGTTCTTCAGCATTAGTGAAGGGAAGGCTGGCCTCTTTAGAGTCAGCTGACCATGCCTAGCCAATCAGGGCCCGCCAGTGCAGTTCTGCCTTCTGCAACCCACTGTCACCATTGCGGGCATTCATTTCCTAGTGAATAGCTGCAAGCATGTGTGAGCCCTTTATTAACTGTAAAGCAAATCACAAAACAGTGGTAATGAATTATTTTAAATACTGTGCATGTAAGTTGGATATCCAGCCAGCAACCGCAGCAAGAAATGCCTTGCCAATGCTTTAATGCCTCCTCCAAAGCTTCGCCTCTCCTCTGTGGCAAAAATAAATAAAATCAGTGTGCACACTGTGCAGATGTGGCTGTGTCTTCTAGTCAAATGCTGTTCCTGAGTTTTACATGGAACTCGAGATTCACCCAAGTCCTTCTCAAATCAGTTCAGTTAAGTCACTAAGTCGTGTCTGACTCTTTGCAACCCCATGGACTGTAGCACACCAGGCTTCCCTGTCCATCACCATCTCTCGGAGCTTATTCAAATTCATGTCCATTGAGTCGATGATGCCATCCAACCATATCATCCTGTGTTGTCCCCTTCTCCTGCTGCCTTCAATCTTTCCCAGCATCAGGGTTTTTTCCAATGAGTCAGTTCTTTGCATCAGGTGACCAGAGTATTGGAGTTTCAGCTTCAGCATCAGTCCTTCCAATGAACACCCAAGACTGATCTCCTTTAGGATGGACTGGTTGCATCTCCTTGCAGTCCAAGGGACTCTCAAGAGTCTTCTCCAACACCACAGTTCAAAAGCATCAATTCTTCAATACTTAGCTTTCTTTATAGGCCATCTCTCACTTCCATACATGACTACTGGAAAAACAATATCTTTCATGAGAGGTACCTTTGTTGACAAAGTAATGTATCTGCTTTTTAATATGCTGCCTAGGTTGGTCATAATTTTTCTTCCAAGGAGTAAGCATCTTTTAATTTCATGGTTGCAGTCACCATCTGCAGTCATTTTGGAGTCCAAAATAATAAAGTCTGCCACTGTTTCCCCATCTTTTTGCCATGAAGTGATGGGACCAGATGCCATGATCTTAGTTTTCTGAATGCTGAGTTTGTTTTTTCTTTGTTTCCATTTATTTTTATTAGTTGGAGGCTAATTACTTTACAATTGTAGTGGTTTTTGAGTTTTAAGCCAACTTTTTCACGATCCTCTTTCACTTGCATCAATAGGCTCTTTAGTTCTTCACTTTCTGCCATAAGCGTGGTGTCATCTGCATATCTGAGGTTATTGATATTTCTCCTGGCAATCTTGATTCCAGCGTGTGCTTCACGCAGCCCAGCATTTTGCATGATGTACTCTGCATCTAAGGATCCTTCTAGATTAGGATCATAGATTTTAAAGAAAGGCAGGTGGTTCCATACATGCCAACTATAAGGGGGCAAATTTAAACACAAACAAATGCTCAGTTTTAAAGGTAGTGAAAGTGAAATTGAAGTCGCTCAGTCGTTTCTGACTCTTTGAGACCCCATGGACTGCAGCCCTCCAGTCTCCTCCTTTCATGGGATTTTCCAGGCAAGAATACTGGAGTGGTGAGTATCCCCCGAAAAAAGAAATATATGTTTACGAAAATCTCTATGTCTAGTAACAGGTGAACACTTTCAAATATTCTACTAAAGTTCACAAAGGTTTTACTAAGAGCAATTCTGATTCAATTTAAAGCTAAGGAACAGGGATTGTCCTGGTGAAATAAATCGCCTTAAAAAATTAAGAACTTCAAAAGAAAATTTAACTAATCCTGATGAAATGCATCCGTCCTGAATTGTTTCTGTTCATAATAGGCACCAAATAAGTCTTTTAATATTTTAAGCTACATTTTGATATTTGAAACAAAAATTATTGGTCCAAATCCATAGAATGCCTCAAGAGTGAACTCTAATACAAACTGTCAACTTTGGGTGATTATGATTATGATGTGTCAATATAGGTTCATCACTTGTAACAAATTACCAATCTGATTAGGGCATTCATGATGGGGGTGACTATCCATTAGTGGAAATGGTGAGTGTATATAAGAAATCACTCTACCCTCCTCTTAATTTTGCTGTGAACCTAGAAATACTCTAAAAATGGTAATAATACAGACTGCAAAAATAAAGCATTTGAAAATAATAAGTTAAAAAGCAGTTCTGATTCCAGGCTTCTCGGAAACACATCCTCCTAATAAAGCAGTTAGTTAGGATAACAACAAAAGTGAAATTGAGAGAGACTGTAAAGGGTATTTCTTAGCAGATCCTAGAGGGCTAACTCACATAGTACATGTTTCCAAAAGAGAGAAAATATAAAAATATTAAAAAAATTAGTATGGGGGAAACTTATTCAAGACAAAAGAAAAAAAAAACTTGAAATAGCAAATCAAGAGTGCCGACCATATTTCAAATAAGATGAATATGTAAAGACTGTTGCACTTAAAAATAGTTTGGTGAGTTTTTTTTTTAATTTTATTTCAAGAGATCCAGGAAAAATGTTAAAAGTATAAAAAATACAAAGCATTAAATGGGTTACTTTCAAAGAAATAAAAAGCAGGTTAGTTAAAACATTCTTTAATATAAAAGTCAGTTGATTCTACAAATCATTTACAAAAAAAGCCACTATCCACAGAATTCTACAGGAAAGATAACTAATGAACATGAGTGTATAAGAAAGTATTCACAATCTCCCTACTTTTA